TGAGCACTACTGAGGAGTCGCACAGTAGAATAAAATAGCCGTCCAGTGCTTCGAGATTTTTCATGGTGATCTAGTTTCAATCGACTCATGATCTCAATCATTAAAATAGAACTAATTCGTTTTCTGGTCTTTACATTAAATTAGTAAACGTTCTTATATGATATTGATTAAAACATCTTTGTTAAATGTACTTCTGTACAGTGAATGGTGACTAAATCACTGACAATAAGTTTTCAACCAACAGTCATCTCTTATCATTTACACCTGTTACATTGATTATTAAGTTGTTGTTTTTTTAATTCAAAAACAAGCCGAAACAGTCATTATCAAAGAGATACATTCTCTCTTTAAACACACTAGTGAGAAAAATAACTAACTAATCCGGAAAATAAGCTAACTGTAATATACCTATTAATAATAGATAACCTACACAAGAAAAATGATTATTATTATTATACATATTTATTACATCTATACATTTACATAAATAGATTTCCATTTACAGAATAATTCTGATTGCTCATGTCATTACCAATATAGGCTTTACAAATTTGAATGCAATCGTCGCTAAGTTGGAAACTAAATGCGGCTTATCCAGTGGGAATTTTTATGCATTTATCATTCTTAAAAAAAACGAAATATAAACTTTTATTAAATTTAAATATTGACTTTTATCACGGAATACTCTCAGCGAAAACACCAGTGACGTCTTCTAAATTTTGATTACATAAATATGTACTTAAATATTATATTGAAAGGGAATCGTATTAATAAATCAATGATTTGTCATAATAAATGTCATATTATCTATTCCTTAGAGTTCATTGCATTATTTTAAACAAGCTTATGTATCGTTATCAAAAATGTTGATTCCATATTAGATGAAAGTTTATTCGGAGTTAAACCATTGAAAGAGAGTAACAGAATTTCTTCGTTCGGGTCTTACGTTATTTGTTACTCATTAGTAAAGTATATCTGTATTCTTTTGTAGACGTTAATTAATGTCGGATATTAATGAAAGCTTATCAACTGATAGTTAATGGGAAAAAAACGCTTTTTTCGTTCAGACTGGAAGAATGTGATTTAAATTTATGTTCAAAATATAAAAAACAAATCTTCAATATGTTTTGTGTGGATTCTAACAACTCTCACTTTTATCAAATACAATGTTTGTATAGTAAACACTAATAACTTGCTATTAGAAATGGCTTTGAGATTACTATTTTGAGTGTGGATGTCATCAAAGCCAAAGCAAGTGATCATTCCGCCTAAAATATTTTGTGTCTAACAATTGCTTACAAAGTAAAAAGTTATTTAATACTGTCATTAAATTTAGGCGGACATGGTTTAACGTCATAGAAATTATAATGATTTTCTTTCAAAACGTTCTTAAATTATACTCGTGTAGAATACGAAGGTGTTTAGCATCATAAAATATGTGATATTTAAGATGAATAAAGACCAAGAAGTATTAGACAGTTGCTAGGTTCGTTTTGGGAAGATTTTACCGACATTCACCTGTGACTACTGCATAATGTATGGGATTTACCACTGTGAACCACTGTATTTTATCATTATTTTATAATCTATTTAAATAGATACGCGCTCATGAGTGAAGTTGCTTCGTGATATCTTTAGAATATTACTGATTAAATTATGTTAATATTAATTTGAAGTTGGAATAAGGTCACATAAAACAATATGTAAGAAATAATTAATAAATATTTGTATATAATTGTAATTTTCCAAAATACTCTCTAAAGAAATGGCTTACACTGAATCACTATAAGGCAGAAAATTCAAAACCTTTATTCTTCTACTCATTGGGACATTGCGATCTATCCAATACTCAATTTATTTGAAATTATCAAGTCAAACCTTGGCAATGACACCTACGAATATGTTAGAGATATTATGAATAAACTAGTCAGTGAATTTTACGATTTAGATAATATTTAGATAATATTTAAGTCATAAGACTAATATTAATGCAGTAAGTAATCTCACTAGAATAATGTTTCTGAAATGTGTATATTGCACCAAATACAATGATTTGCTGTAATATTCACTATCGCGTCTACATCTTGAACGACCATTATGTATATATATATATATATATATATATATATATATATATATATTATTGATTCTAAAATAACATTTCTGAAATTATACAGATTATTGGTATAATGCTCCAATCAGTTTATTTTAAAACTTACTCAAGTTGTTGATTCGACTTCATTGCTACAGTAAAACTATATGGAACTGCAATGATGAGCATTTCGTAAACAATGATATTTGGATGCATATAAATAAATATTAGTGAATATAATTGCTAACTGTCTAGTTTCACCTTTGAAGTTCTGTTGAAAATTTTTATTATTTACAAAACATATTTCTTTCAGAAATTACCATCGAAACAATTTATAAAAGGTGCTTGCCAAGCAAGTAAACCGATCGTTACTGATTACCTTGGAATTATGTAAATTACTTATACAACCACAAAGTTTAAACGAAACTGTAAGCCAAATAATAATGAATATGTTGAATAGTTTTCTTGAATTAGCTATGATCCAATCATTTATTTTCAAATTGACGAAAAACTAATCACATTTCTCTGATATATAGTCTCTGAACTCAACAGAACTGTTTTTCAAACTATATAAATCATGTATTACGAATTCACTAATAGGAGCCTGTTGGATATATTCACAAATATAAGATTTTAATTCAAGTTCGAGATTTAGACGATCAGATTATAAACTCATTTTTAAATTCGTGTGAATATAAAAAGAAAACTCATTGATATCACTCAATATAATAACAGCTATGATGTAGAAAATCTTTATTTAGATAATGAAAGACAATCATCAGCTTAGAGGTTTCAGTCAGTCAGTTATTAACTGCTTAGTGCTTTCAGATTGATTCGAAAGTTTTATATGAATATATATTTAAATGTTTCCCTACATAGTTTTTTTTAACAATATACATGCACAACAATACGTATAAATATAATCTAGTTCTATCTTATCATATAAAATTGTAGATGGGAAAATTATCGATTTCTTATGTTGTATATATTTTACATATCAGCAATTGGTGATATGTTTTTTTTATCTTGATAAATAACTGAATTCCATTTGAAAATGACATTAGTTACAATTATCAGTTTATAATTATAAAACAACTGATGTTGTCTACAATACTCAGATTAAATATTTCAATAGAAGACATAAATCAAGTTGTAAACGTAAATAAGATTCATCTTTCACAAATGTTTAAAATCATCAATGTTTTTGTTTGAATAGACGAGGAGGGGTTTTTATATTTTTAATAAAAACGTAAATTACACGAATCATTTTTTGTTGATTAATTTTGTTTTTCTAAAATAAATGAAAGATAACAGTATATAAGAACGTTGATTTAAATTTGTTTTAAATAGTTTCATAATATTCGGGCGCCAAGTTGATATGTAACATTACAGAAGGAAGAATGTAATATCTCATCGAAGAAATATAAAGTAAGTTCAATGAAACCAATAGTATAAGAGAGCATTGTAGTGTAATTTACAAAACAATGAATATTTTTAAGAAATCTAGGAAATTAAAAAAAAAAAAAATTTGATTCCATTTAGGGTTCATAGATTTTAAGTATTGGATAAATGAAAGTTGAAATTTTTATTTTCATACTTTAAAATGTTGGATAATCCTAGGAAATTAATAAAACTTGAGTGTAACATAATAGAATTATTCAACTGACAATGATTATTATCATAGTTAGCACCTGTTATAAAGCACAATATTGTTCTATGTTTTAATATTTTAAATTACTATGTTTATGGTATAGAAGTTCTTTTTCATGACGTTTAAAAACAAAAAAAGTGAAATCCATTTGTTTTAATTACTTAATTGCGATAATGAAATTTTTAAAAAATTATTGATTTATTATAGAACATACATTCATGATAATTGTTCTACAAGTAAATGATAGAGTTGTTTAGCTTTAAAGATTCTTTTTAATTTTCAATACAATAGAAAGTTATTCTTTTATTTGTTCATCAATATACACGATTGTAGCGTATGGTCTCTATTGGATTCTAATAAACTTCAGGGATGGTAATCATTTGTAATACAAATTAATATAATGAGAGAGGGGTTTTGTGGAGATTATAATAATTTATGAATGAATGAATCAATTGAAGCTAGATCACCATGGAAAACCTGGAAGCACTGGACGGCTGTTTCATCCTGGCATTGGACTCCTCAGAGGTGAGCATCCACTATCCCACCTTGCGAGATTCGAATCCATGATCTAACAAACGCGCGCGCGAACGCTTAACCTTCAGATCACTAAGCTTGTATTCAACGGTATTAATGTCCAACTTCAACCAATCCACGAAATTGTGCCATCGTCCACCATTGTCTTCAGTGAGTTACTGTCTCACAACTGACCTTGTTGAACTTCACTAGTCATGGTTTCTTACTAGAAATTCAGGAACTAACTCTTGGAAACAATCACTGGTAATTATATGATGATTATAATCAGAGGGGGGTTTTATGGATATTGTAGTAATTTCATAATTGAATGCCCCCAAATGCCCTGGTATGGCCGAGAGTGGGGGGAGTCCGCTCCTCCTCTCGAAATGCTCTCACATGGCCACGCGTATACAGCCCCTGCAAGGGAAGTCCTACTCACTGCCTTCTCGCACTACGGGTGTTGTTTACGAAAATGAGAGGACGAAAAGCGAATGTCCGGCGCTATAACCGGATCCCAAACCAATGGTGCACATGGGCTCCAGTATCCTGAAAGAACAAATGACGTATGAACCAATCGTTGGTCACCGGCTACTATGGGACTGCATCTCCTCACGATGCTTCACTGCCTTGTGGATCAGACGTTCAGGTCGAAGGCTCGGGGTGTGGCCCCCTAAGGAAACCACCTGCTTCGGTTTGGGCACCTGAGCAGTATCACAGACCTCACACAAATCAATTGAGATTTGCGTGGCGCATATGTATTTGGTGCCTCCTTGTACCAATACCTATGTGTTAAAATAAATTAATTAAATAATCATAATTGAATCCATGACTAAATTGTGGCCTAAATCTAAAGCGTTTACGAGCCAGAGCAATAAATCCTGGGTTTGAATCTCGTGGGTCAGGATCGTGAATGCGCACTACTGAGGAGTCTCATACCAGGATAAAACAACAGTCCAGTATTTCCAGGTTTTCACGGTGATCTAGCTCCAATTGACTTGTAAATTCAATCATTAAACAATTGAATATATTGCGTTTTTTTTTGAAGACGGTGAAATAAACTTGATCATCAAAAAAGTATGTCAAAATCAAAAAGTATGTTTTAAATACTAAACAAATAGATTTATTTGCATAATTAATATTTATTTTATTAAAGAGTATTTAAGTTTCCATTTTTCAAGCATTTCAGTTTTCCATTTTGTTTAATAGATTCTTTGCATTATCTATAAGACTCTATTAAATAATAAAAAAATGAAAACTATAAGTTAGTAAATGAATTCACTTTATTGATGAAACGATATAAATAAACAATTACAAACAATATACTACAAATTATTAAACACATTGAAATGACAAATTAGGTATTACAAAGACTGATCTATTGTTTTTTGCACAACTTGTGTAAAGTTATCTACTATTCATAATAGAGGTTAAAAGTTATTTCAAATATCTAAATAAGTAAGGTTTTACTACTACTACTACAACAAAAGAAGGATGAACATAATCTATTAGTTGTTTGACCTTAAAGTATTTTGATGTACACTGCTAAACTAGATTTTAAACAGTTTCATTCTTCTTTAAATAGTGATATTTCAAATCCTTTATTTAACAGCTCATTACAAAAGAATCCCGAAACGCTTACTTAAACATATTTCTGTACTCAAATTAAGTATTTATGTAGATGTAAATAAATTAATATATTTGTAATATTCCAACGAGTAAAAAAATTAGATTTTTTACGTTTCGTGACTCAGTTTGAACTACTTCTTCAGAGGAAAATAAATAACCAAATGACAATTTATTTATTTATTTATTTATTTTAACACATAGATATCGGTACAAGAAGGCACCAAATACATATGCGCCACACAGATCTCATTTGATATGTGTGAGGGCTGTGATACTGCCCGGGTGCCCAAACCGAAGCAGGTGGTTTCCTTAGGGGGCCACACCCCGAGCCTTCGACCTGAACGTCTGATCCACAAGGCAGTGAAGCATCGTGAGGAGATGCAGTCCCATGGTAGCCGGTGACCAACGATTGGTTCATACGTCATTTGTTCTTTCAGGATACTGGAGCCCATGTGCACCATTGGTTTGGGATCCGGTTATAGCGCCGGACATTCGCTTTTCGTCCTCTCATTTTCGTAAACAACACCCGTAGTGCGAGAAGGCAGTGAGTAGGACTTCCCTTGCAGGGGCTGTATACGCGTGGCCATGTGAGAGCATTTCGAGAGGAGGAGCGGACTCCCCCCACTCTCGGCCATACCAGGACATTTGGATGGAAAAGTAAGAAAATCTAATTTTTCTACTCATTGGGATATTACAAATATATTAATTTATGTATAACGATCTATCCAATGCTCAATTAATTTGAAATTATCAAATCAAACCTTGGTAATGATACCTATTTATGTATAATGGTTTATTTAGTGATTTATATAATTTAAGAATAGTTTTTGTAACATATTGACTATCATAAATCAGTGCGCATTCACGATATCGCCCCTCGCGAGATTCGAACGCGGGGCCTATCAGTCTCGCGCACGAGCTCTTAACCACTAGACCACTGATCCGGCCAGCATCCAACGGTGTTAATGTCTAACTTCAGCTAATCGACGCAATGGAGCAACACATCCACCATTTTTATCTCACAACAGACCTGGTTGAACTCCACTGGTCAGTGCTTCTCACTAGAACTCCAGGATATACCTCTTGGAGCCAATCACTAGTGAGCATATGCTGGTTAATATCAACTAACTCATGATCTCAACCATTAAGATTACTATAATATCCACAAAACCCTTTCTGATATCATAAATAAGTTTACAAATATTTTGTTTTATTTGGCAACTCCATAATAGAATTGATCTATGATTCAACAAAGCACTTTCAGATTATGATTTAATTTAATATTTTTACTATATAACAAACTTACATTTAAAACAAATTTACACATGTTTTAATATATTTTTCATACTGTCAAATTTGCGTAGGGTTATTTGAATATTAGTATTACATGAGCTTAGTCTATCATTTTCTTCCTTTCATGGAAACGGATTCTTTTTATTGAGTTTTATTTATATTAATAAACAAACAAAAACACATCAGGAACCGTAAATGATGTAGAAACTATAAGTCAACCTTCATTTATTTTGTTAGGCAATTCATTTCATAAAATTCAAGTTATAAAAATGTAATTTAGTCAGTTTCATCACAATACTTTTTTTCCTGTATTAAAAATTATAGATCTGGAAAATAATACAACAATATAGTGGAAGAAAATATGAGATGAAAGCAACTGTTGTCTAGTTTCTGAGCATATCATATGATTAAACAGCTGTAAGTTAAGTCGAAACTCCCATTGATACACCAAACTATTTAAAACTGTATGATTAAATACTTTTTTTTCAGATTGTTTGAAGTCAACTTAGCTTATCTCTATAGACGATATAAACTGATGCAAAACAAACAAATCTGTTTTCAATTTAATATCACTCATAAACAATACCAGAATGAGTGATATTATACAACTAATCATTAACAGTAAGTATCATTACTAAGGTTTCACTTGATAATTTCGAATAAATTGAGCATTGGGTAGTTTGTTATAAATAAATTCATTAATATATTTGTAATATCTCAATAAGTAGAAAAATTAAATTTTCTGACATTTCGTGACTTAATGTAAGCCACTTCTTCAGAGAATAAATAGAAGAATCAAGTTTAAATAGCACAACGCAAGAATATTGTGTATAGGTTGACTAGATTTCTCTCATAATATTCTTGCGTTGTTCATTTGAACTATTTAAACTTAGGATTATTTTAATTTGATTATCTATTCTATGACGAATTGGCTTACACTGAGTCATGAAACGTCAGAAAATCTAATTTTTCTACTCATTGGGCTATTACAAACATATTAATTTCTTTATAATCATTAACAGTTTCTGTAACCAATTGATTGACATCAAATAACTGATACTGATTGACAATCTCAAGTGTATATTTACCACTAATCGAATACATTAAATTTCAATACCGATTATATATGATCAAAAATTCAAATTTATTTACTTTTGTTTTGATAATACCATTCACATTCTAGTAACTACAGAAAAGTTACCTGAAAACATTGATAATAAACTCGTGTAATACATTCCATAACATAAATACGTGAGGATTAAGAGACAATGTTGATTTTTGTCTCAGTAATAGCTTTCTAATTTTGTTATCTATCACTGTCTACTATCTGATTGATTGGTTTTTCAAGAATATTAATATTGAAAAATAAGTGGAAAGTTGGTATCTGCTTAGTTTTATTTCAATAATTAAAACCATAACCATCTTGAAATACAAAATTAGATATTGAACAAAACGGAATTATTACTAATTCGAATAAGAAATGAATATTGACTGGAAGTAATGATAATCTACCATTTGATAGTACATAGTGTTGAAAAAAATACAAAATGCAGGAAATCTAAATTGAACATTATGAAAATCTAAACGAAAATCTACTAAAAGAAAACTAAAACCACTTTATTGAAGTCTTCTTGCATTTTGTTTTCATTTTTTTTGTATTTTTTCCTGTTATCAAGAAATATGTTCAGTATATTGTGTTGTACTTTTATTTCAATGACTTATTATTCATGGATATTCACGCTCAATGTATTCACTTACAACCATATTTAACTATGTTAAATTTAAAAATGTGTTGTTGCTTCTTTAAAACAAAAACCAAAACTAATAATGATTATCATTATGGGGTTGTGGAGATTATTAAGTTTTTGATTAAGATCGTGAACCGATTGATGTTAGATCACCATTGAAAAGCTGGAAGCACTGAACGGCCGTCTCATCCTACTGCGGGACTCCTCAACAGTGCTCATCCACGATCTCGCTCCAAAGAGGTTCGAAACCAGGACCTTCGATCTCGCACGCGAACGCCTAACCTCTTAAACACTGACCCTGCATTCAATGGTGTTAATGTCCAACTTCAACCAATTCACGAACTTGTGCGACCACCTTTCATTGTACTGAGGTAGATACCTGTTTCTACCTGACATGGATTAGCTCTAATTGTCACAGCTCCTCACCAGAACGCTGAAAATTCCCTCAAGATTAGTTTAATCATAATGCAACAATGACATTATTTGATTTAATAAGGTTGAAAGCATGTAAATATTGGTTATAAAGTCGTTAAAGTGATAATAGTAGTATTAACAATAATGACAATAGTAATGCTAACTTGACACAGTCAAATAATTTGTTTCTAATGTATTCATTTTTGACATAGTTTTTATTATACGTTCACATTATTTGAATGATTATTGGTAACTAAGCCGTATTTAACAAATGCTTCACTCATGTTTCATAAGAGGTTTTGTATAAAATAATGAACAAGCGCTGCTAACCAGTTGCTAAGTAGATTAAAGAGGATATTTAGAATTGAACGATTCTCAAAAGTTCTAGAATTGATATTGTGGTGTGTTCTAGTGATGTTGATAGATATAAATAGTATGAACCATCAATCAAAAGTGAAATGCCTGGCGATAGGTAAAGAAGATCAAAGAAAAGACAACAAGAACAGAGAGTGATTGGTGTGGAAACGAAAGAACTGTCAAGTATGAAACAATTGATCGACATTTTGCAAATGAAGCATTCGCTGTGTGGTTCTTTGATTCTATTAAGAGATTCTGTAATGTACTGAAATACATTTGATTGTCCTCCCTGATGTTTTCGTTCACTATAATAGTATAACTTTCACGAAAACCTAACTCTAAGTTTATACTTTGTTGATCTAACTGATCAAGAGTGGATAGTTGGTACTTTGCCTTTTAGAATCGATAAACTATGACTTGTAGTGGAATTCGAGACGTTTATTTCATCCTGTTTAAAGTTCATCAGTTGGACTTATATTCATCCCAGTGTTGCTATTTTCACTGTAACCTAAACCTGATACTTTTCGCTTTAGTTCACTGGGCTACTAAGTTCAGAGACCAACTAGCCTATAATGTTAATTGTCCTTAATGTCAATAAAGAAATAATCTAGTTTATAGAATGATAATAATTTTCTTTGTAACCATAAGCTACTTTGTAACTTCGATATGAATAGTGCTTATCATAATTTACATACAAAAAAGACAATCTGCACAAATTATAGTCACTGCAATCAATTATTTTCTGGTTATTTAACATTTATGCATATTCAATCTTATCTAAACTAAATTTAT